TCCACCTCACCCTGCCCCACACGTGTACCGACCCCGGTTGCGCCCGCCACTCCTTCGCCCTGGCCCCCTCCTTTCTCCGCGTGGGCAAGACCTAGGAGCCCAAATAAGGACAAGCACGCCTCGTCCGCAGGACCCCAGGCACGTCGTGCGCCCATCTGCCATCCCCTGGCTCGCCGTGCCCCTTCCCCCAGCGCCTGTGCCATTTCCCCATAACTCTCTGAACATAACTCTGAAACACGAAACACTTGCAACATGAAACACTAGAATGCAACATAAGTTTGAAGTAGATGAAACATGTGGAACATACACTTGCAACATGTTTGAAACATATGCAATATCCAAATAAAACACTTGCAACATGAAAATACTAACTACAACATCAAAATAAAATACCTGAAACATTTGGAACATACTCTTACAACATATGCAACATCCAGATCGAAACGCTTGCAACATACGTCTGAAACAGATGAAACACTTTGAACAAACGCTTGTAGCATGCCTCTGAAACACTTGCAGCATATGCAACATCCTGATCTACTTTTGCAATATCCATATAAAACACTTGCAACATACCTCTCAAACACTTGAAACATACGTTTGCAACATGCATTTTCAGCGCAACATCTCCTTGTTGCTTGGGAATGGAGGCTTATCGGCATGTGGAGTTCACTGATGTAGAGCTCGTCAGTGGTGCGGAGCTCACTGCTCCAGTGAAAAAGGCCGTGGCAGGTCCCATGGAGAAGGTTGTGGCGGGTCCGTGCGTGTGAGAAGCCCGCGACGGGCGGGAGGCGCGGTGGAGAGGGAGGAAGACGGGCTGACGTGCTTTGGTTCGGAGGAGATGACAACTGGTGGAGTGGAGGTGCGATGGACAGGAAGGCGCGGTGGAGAGCGCTGTCGCTGAGGCGCGCGGCGAAGCGTGGTCGCAGAGAGCTGTTGCGGCGCTGCGGCGTGGTGAGTTTTTTCTTTTTTAAATGGTTGGGGATGAATGGATGAGCAGATGAGATACAGTTGTTGGGCTACGTCGTGGCCCACCATCAACATCTTCCGAATGGACGGACGCCCGTTTTTTCTTTTTTAGAATGGTTGGGGATGAGTGGATGAGCAGAAAAGATACGCGGTCTGTTCGTTTGGCTGTGGCTTGTCGTAAACGATCGTAAATTTTCAGCTGTAACAGTATTTTTCTCTCACACAAACCAGCCAACAGTACTTTTTCACGAACCAGCCAAACGAACAGGCTGACGGTTATTGGGCTACGTCGTGATCCACCATCAGCACCGTCCGAATGGACGGACGCCCTATACCCAATATTACCGTAATCTTAATTGCAATGAGAAGTACAGTACAATTCGGTGTACACTACTCATCGGCCCTATATATATGTACACGTTGATGGCATGCCTGCACGAACACGGTACATGCATGAGCAGCCACGTAGGTAGCGCCTAGTTAGAGTTCTCGATCCAATCTGGATTACTCGACCCATGCATTTCTCACTCTCTTTTAATTAGCTAGCTAGTGTGATCATTAGCTTAGTCAGCTCCATCTGGTTGACGACTAAAATGTCGTGTTGTTCCTTACCTTCCTTCTCATTGCAGCATCCACGTTATATTATTATTATTATTATTACACCAGACTGCAGACGTATATCGGTCGGTCGGGTCGGATGCACATGGAATAATCTGACAATAATATATATAATCCTCATTTATTTTTATTAATTAAACAACCTCCTACTCCTACATACTACAAATCTACAATACACTATGCCATGTCGTTGACATAGATGATTGATTGCTAGTAGTTGGGCAATGCATGCAAACGTAAGAAGAATACGGACTTTTATTTTAAAACTGACCAGGTCTACGATGATACATGCATGTACGCTAGCTTATATCTGATCATATGCAGAGGCTGATCCAGCGGTGGGTTGGGTGGGACTCTTCTCCTACCGTCTCTCGCACAATGGAGCTGCGGGGGGCTTCGTCTGGCCTCTTATGTACCCTCGCCAAGGATTAGCACGTAGGAGACTCAGGGTGCCACACGGAGAAAGTAAAGAGGGGGTTAAACTATAACAGCGGGGAGACGTTACAATAAATTTTGGAGTAAATATCCATTAATTCGTTATCCTTTACGGTGCCACCACCGGGTATTTATAGCACATCTAGTGACGTGGCAAAATTACAAATTACCCTTGCTGGGTAGGGCGTCGTCATTCTACAGGGGCATGGGGCACCTTCAGTCATTTCACATGCCCGTCCCAACCACTCTTACAGTGCCGCCCATCTCGTATCTATAGGACACACCCCGTAGCATGGCAAAAATACAACCCTTGCCGGGCAAGGCGTCATTCTACAGTCATTTCACATGCTCGTTCCAACCACTCTTCTGGCGGCGCAGGGAACGCCATATCTAGGGACCGCCACCTTCTGTCCTTCGTCTCACGGCGTAGCGTTACCCTCGCGAGGGTCCCTTGTCATCTGATCTCATGACCGATGCTCAACCTGCAAAGACACAGGAGCGTAGTTACCTTCGCCCGGAGCGCCGCGCAGTAAGGCGGCGAGGATCTCGCGGAGGATTGCCCCTAGGTCTTGAAAGACGAAGCAGCATCGGTAGCTTCCTTAAGCAAATGGGGAGAAAGGCGGCCGAGGGCTCGGACCTATAGACGAGGCTAGGTTGGGGCGGCGTGTCGGAGGCATCCCCCAACATGAGCTCTCCTCGAGCCCTCCTCCATTTTTATGGAAAAAGTAAGAAGAAGAGGAGAAGGAGCAAATAAAGGAAGAAGAAGGAGAGAGAAAAAGAAAGAAGGGGGAAGAAGCAAGCTCCTCAGCTAGCGCTATGTTCACTTGACTTATAAGTCGTATATTTTTTTAGCTAACGAATATTATTTTTTTCTCACAACAAATTAGTCAATAGTATTTTCAGCCATAACTTATCAGTCAAGCGAACAGGACGTAGGTTTCTAGGCCACACTAATCATATGCCATCCTGATTCGATCCATCCAAAATACCCAACCCCAGCCAGTATATTGGTGGATAGACTCTCATGTCATTATAGTTTGACCCATAACTCATCCAGCTAGAAAACTCTGAAAAATAGCTCGACCCTTATCTTTTTTTCCCCTTATCCGACCCGGCGTAGCGATTGATCATGTCACTCGCTAGATAACACTGTAGTGCGGCGCTTATTACAACAGGCAGCCCCTAGACTCGGTATAAACATTTCTGCTATCATCGCTAGGCAGTAGGGCAGGCCAAACTTTCCGAGACAATGCACATGCACCTCTCACATCACATCCAATAATTAAATTATTATTCGATCCCAACTCCCTGCATGCATGATTTTCATCATACCATTAATTAATTCCATCGATCAGCCAGCAGTTTATTATTCATGTGACAACCAAAGTCTTTGGTTGGTGGAAATACAAATACACCGGCCGGGGAAAAGAAAGTTGGAAACTTTTTTTTTAATGTTTCTTCTTCTTTATTTTTTCATTCTTTTTTTACGAATCATTCAGGTACAGACACAAACGCTCAACACACACGCACACTCACCCCTATGAACACTTCGTTCAAGCAAATGAAATGAGACACCTCGCTCGCCATGACCTTAAAGGTGGCCATGGGCATTTTGCATCTGCCAACTTAAATTTGCCTCTACAAAAAACGGAACATTTTTTCTAAAAGGCAAGCGCCTGAAATCAGTCCTAGGTTCAGACGACGACATTGATCTTTTGACCTTGCTTCAAGATTAGTACATCTTTCTATTAAATCTTCATCTCATGGCTCATAGCAGTTGCTTGAACAGATGCCATTTTTCAGGCACCTGAAAAAAATAACAAATCCCAAAGATGAATAATGCTACCACTGACTTTATTTATTTAACTATTTATTTGTTTGCATCAATCAAGGTCAGCTAACTTCTCTGCCGTGCCACCTTATTTGTGTGTACAAGCAAGTCGCAAAAGCTCGTCGAATTATAGTAGCAACAAAGCAAAGGCCTTTATAGTCAAATCCAGATCAGACCAGCTGTCCACGCGGGCCCCGCATGTCGGCGGTCCAGCCAGGTCACGACGCCCAGTTCCCAACCGAAGCCCACCGCCGGGCCCGCCACGCTCACAGCTCACTGAGGCCTTTTAAATCAGTTGAAGTGTCATGTCAGATGTTCCATGAATTTATATGTGATATTTGATATTAATAAAAAAATAAATTATAGAATTCGTAAATAATTCGTGAGATAAATTTATTAAATTTAATTAATTTATCATTAACATATGTGTTACTGTAGCATCATATTATTAAATCATAGACTAATTAGACTTAAAAAATTTATCTTATAAATTAATAATAAATTATATAATTAATTATTTTTTACTATATATTTAATACTTATGCATGTATATGCAATACAGTATGAAGTAAATTTGACGGGAGGAACTGAACATGGCCTCACTCCAAGCTTCCATTCGCGCACGGGACCTCTCACAAAGACTGAAATCACAATCAGGTCCTTCGCAGCCGCCCGTGTACATAACGCCCTCTTCCACTTGGCCCCTCCTCGTCTCCCTCGCCGCCCGCCACGCCTCACTCGATCGCCGCTCCACCCTGCGCTCGCCTCGCCAATGGCGGACCCAACGAGCTGCCGCCGCCGCCGCCGCCGCTGCGTACGCGGGGAACCATAGCGCCGAACGGACGCGCTGCTGCACCTCCCCCTCCTGCGCGCCGCCGGCGGCGGCCGCGAGCGAGTTCTCCAAGTCCAGGTAACCGCCGGCGGCCGCCCCACCACGAGCTCTTCATTCCATCTCCTCCTCCTCCTCTCTTCTCTGACCTTACTTCTCTGAGTACTCCGATTCACCTTGATATCTACCGTTTCTCTTCCGGCCGCTGCGATTTCTTCCACTGAACCGATTTGCGGCTCTGCAGAGGCGGCATTCGGTTCGCCGAACGAAGAGGGGGGGGGAATCCTATCCCGCCTTGGGAGCTAGGCGCCAGGCGCTATGGCGAGCGAGGCGAAGGAGATGAAGTACAGGAGGAGGGGCAGGGTCCCCGACCCGCCGTCCGAGTACGGGCAATGCAGCGACCGGAGCGGCGCGCTGGACTGGGCCGCGCTCAAGCACGACCCCGCGGAGCTGCTCCGCAAGCTCGACGAGATACGGGACCATATCACCCGCTCCTGCGAGCTCATGGGCCAGCCGCCGGAGCGCCACCGCGTGATGAGCCGCCGCACGGTCTCGCTGCGCCCCTCGTACGCCGAGCCGCCGCCGCCGCCGCACGCGGCAGACCGGAGGCCGCCGGACCACTACCGCTCGCGCTATGCCGGCCGGTACAGGACTGGTTTGGCACCGAGTTCGTATGACCAGCTGCAGCGCTCCGTCTCCGACGAGACGTACGCCAGGCAGCCCAGCGGGCGGTTCCGGCAGCAGTACCATGAGGGGAAGCGGGAGAGCTACGGCTTTGCCCAGGGGAGGCGCCATCACAGCGCTTGCCAGTGCGCGCAGTGCCTTCAGAGCCAGCGGGCGGTGGCGGCGCCGCCCGAGGAGCACATCCTGATGGCCAGGTACTTCGCAGGGCAGCAGGGGCAGGGGTCCTTTCGCTTTGATAGATCCCAGCCAATATCGTCGGAGCTTGACCAGAGTTCGGTGGCTTCATCTCTGTACTCGCACCTTTCCATGTCGAAGAGGAGGGTCGAGTATTTCAGGAAGAAAGCAGAGAAATCTTGCCAGCCGATGAGGGGCGCTGCACCTTTTGTTGTGTGCACCTCCTGTTCCCATCTTCTGCAGTTGCCTCAGGGGAAATTCACAGGCCGGAAGAAGAATCAGGTTCAGTGTGGTACATGTTCTGAGATCATTACTTTCAAGCCTAAGGAAGTGAAAGTTCATCCTGTGATCCCGCTGTCATCTTTCCTTGTATCAAAAAGTGTCAGAACTAGAGGCTCCAATCACTGGGATGCCAAGAGTTCCAGGTGGTATCAACATCAGGATGATGACAACTTTAATTTCTATAAGCTGCAAGCACACGACATCCACCGACAGAAGAAGGATTTTGCTGACAGTATGTCGCCATCTTCTACCGCGAGTTATGATAGAACAGACAGTGAGCATGGGTCAAACAGGAGCATTCAGTTAAAATCAGTGCCTACCAGCAGGTCTAGATTTTCAAATGACCCAAAGGATATATTATGTCAAGGAGATACAGGCAGTCAAGTGGAAGCTTCAGGACAGTGTACAGTCAGTCCACAGGGTCCAATTTTAGTGGACAAACAAATTGATCCGTTCTCCAGTCAAAGGAAAGATTATAGTGGTGGAACTCAAATCAAAAGAAAGGAATATGACATAAATACCAAATCAGATTATGAAGCCAATGCTAGAGATGAAAGTCTCAGTAGGAAATGCATACAGAAGAGCAAAGAAGGCCATAAGGTTGGGCTTGGAGATGAATTCAGTAATGGAAGAACACATGAACAAAAAGGTAGACACGGTAATATTGGCAGTCCTGAAGATGGAATCGTGGGCAACAAATACAAACATAAGACCAGTAATGTTGTTACTAGCAGCCCTGAAGATGAAGATATGAGCATCAAGCATGAACATAAAAGTAGCTTTAGAGTTGAAGAACTTAGTAAGAGAGATGACAAATGCAACAAAAAGGATGGCAGCAATATTCTTGAAGTTAAGAGCATAGCTAGGGGATGTGAACAAGACAGCATCAAAGATGACTGTGGGAAATTGCTGCACTCAGGTAGTAGAAATGGCAACAGAGCAGCCAAGAATGATTCATCAGTTAAGGAACACACAAATTCAATTTCTCGTGTGTCTTCGGAGGCCGAGTTAGATGAGATACAATCTTCAGTTGGTAAGAATGGGGATTCATCCTTTTTTACTGGTTTCCTGAAGAAAGGTTTAAAGGACCTTTCTTTATTCAACCAGTCTGTAGACAGTGCTAAGGTTTCAATCAATGGTCATCCAATCTCTGAAAGAGCTCTCCGGAAAGCAGAGAAGAAAGCTGGACCAGTTGGCCCTGGTTCATATTGGTAAGTCATTTGCTCACTTAGCCATTTAGATTGTGTTCTGCAAAACTTTATTTGTTTAGCTTATTCTCTTAGCCATTCAGACTGTGTTCTGCAAAACTTTAGTTGTTTAGCTTATTCTGCATACAGTCCTACATCACTTGCCCTACTCATTTATATTTTAGCATCATCCACCTTATTCAGACAACACTGATGTTGCTTGCAAAGTATGAAACAATGAGTGAATGGGCACAAAACACATGCCTTTTGCTTTCATCCTTCAGTGAAATTCTTATTTATTAGTGGAAACTTGATGACTTGGTTCAAACACTACTAGAACTATCCCATTTTGATCAATTGTTATCATGCTGGTTTCTATTGCTAGCAGTGTTTTCATTATTGATTGCTTCAAGTGATGTCAGCTGGAACCACACAAAATCATGCCATCTTCCATATCAGCAATAGCTTTTCATTTTCAATATCCTTTCACCAGGAAATCAATATATAACATTTTTTCTTGGCACCTCAGTAAATAGAAAGCTAGTGCTACTTGCTGGACTAACAAAAAACAATTAATTTTTGGTAAGAAATTGCTTATCCATGCTTTAGCTTCATAGTTATGACCATATCACTAGGTATGTTCTATAGTTCACCTGATTCGTGTTCAGATGATATGTTCTATAGTTCATTCGTCTGCATTAACAAGCAATAAATTTAAAAATTTCTAATTCACAGTATCATAGTAATTTACTCAGGACATTCTGTGCAATTATTTACACAACACCTAAAGGACTGAAGAGCATACTGTTCTAGTGATCACAGTAAGTTATGATTTAAATCATTCTCCTTTGATCTCGAATGGAAGTCTACCAACATTTTCTCTGACCCTGTTTTTTCCTTATCAAAGTTGATGCTGAATAATAGCATTTTCACTTGAGTTGAAGGTGCTACTTTGACAAGGGTCTGCCTCTGGACAAAGAATAAATTTATCCTAGAACATGTGTTGTCAAACTATTTTAATGTTGACGACAGTATCTTTGTAAATATCTGGGTTGACATATGAGTACTATGATGAGTAGATTCATTTTGGAGACCAACAGTGTGCCAAGAGACCCTTACCAGTTATTTGGATCTTAAATTAGTATGATGAGCATATCGCCTGTTCTTCTTCTTCTTTTGAAACAAATTCTACTAGATCTTCACTTCTCAGCACCAGAGATGGTTTAAGGGAACTTTAGTTCACAGTGCATTGTGAATTATTTAAAACAAAGTAACACATCCTTTTTGTAATTTAGGTACGACTATCGTGCTGGATTTTGGGGTGTCTTTGGACAAGAATGTAGAGGCATTATACCAGTAAGTTGAACTTTCTGCAAGTTATATTTGCTCAAGCACTGTTTGTTTCCAAGTCATCACACAATGTTCTTTCCTTGCAGCCATTTATAAAAGAATTCAACTATCCGATGCCCAAGAATTGTGCTGGTGGTAATACTGGAGTTTTTGTAAATGGCAGAGAGCTCCACCAGAAAGATTTTGATTTGCTTGTAGGGAGAGGGCTCCCTCGTATACCTGGAAAGTCATATTCTGTTGAGATATCAGGAAATGTGATCGATGATACGACTGGCACGAAGCTACGTGGTCTTGGAAAGCTTGCTCCCACGTAAGTTGCTTGACACTATATGTATACCCCTTTTCTACTTTTTTGTAGGAAATGTGCAGTAATTAATGCATGACCTCAGGAAACAGTTAGCTTAAGGTGTAACTTGTTTTCTTGAGCAAAACAAAATCTTTTCTGCTCTGTTGACAAAACCTTGAAAAAAAATTGTTCCTAAATAGTCTGTTTTCTGTATTTATCTAATACTACAATGTATAGCAAAACTACAAAGGCATTAACCATTTGTTTACCAATGAGGTTGAGTGTAAACTTTAAGCATAGAAAGGATCACTAATCCCCGCATTTACTTCCTGAATTACTCTAATGTTATAATCGCCAGCTAAGCTTATCACTTCTTTCCTATTAAGGATCTTCCCGCAATGTACTTGAACATTAAAAATACTTGATCGCCAACTGTATCTTGATAAGATTTCTTAATTTGGTGGGAATTTCAGATACTAATCATTTTTCAACATTTAATTTATCAGAATCGAGAAAATGAAACGTGGCTTTGGCATGCACATCCCCGAAGAGACAAAGTAGCTCTATGGATATTTTGTTGCCGCTTTTGTTAAAGTTTTACACCTAGAAGCTGCCAATGGGAGTCCAAGTCTGTTAGCATGGTGACAATGGAAGAAAGTCTTTCATGTCTTGAAGCCTGACCGCGTCGCTGCAATACAGCTCCGGACATTGAGAGAAGAAATGGAGGCATCATTACTCATTCACACCATCGTTCTTGAAATGTCGTTTTTCCATGGCGGCAGCTCCGGCCTACAATTCTTCTGTCTCCCTCTTGTTGTTGGTAGAAGTCGCCGCACCATAGGTGGTAGGTAGCATTTGGAGAATGTATTCATTATTACGGGTTTGTGATACGGTGGTGCAACTCTTCGGCTATATAAATGTACCTGCTTGTAACATATTACACAGGTATGTAACGGCGCATCAAATTTGAAGGGATTTTTGGGTTACAGTTCAAGAAAATGCACAAACATTAACACATGTGTGGTTTTTTATGCAACTTTTAAATTTATAAAGTAGATTTGTATCTATTATTCCTAGCATTTGGTTTATGTTTTGTTCAAATTTTTAGTGAATTTCTAAAAGATACTAAAAACGAGGATGTTACAATGTATACTCTTTCGGTTAGCGAAGGATAGCAAAGGATTCTAAGTCCAAGACAAGTTCTTTGGTCATGTTTCCACTTCTCTTTCTCTCTTTTGCAAGCGATTTCTCACTAGCAGGGTTTTCTCCCCTAGAGCAGCTGCAGCGTTGCGTTTGGAATAGAAGGCTATGCCAAGCAGAGTCCACGTCAAGGAAGCTGTCTGAGCAAAAATCAGGGAAGCTGTCTGAGCAAAATTTGGTCCAGCGTATTGCCAAGCATGGAGCTAGTGAGCTGGGCAACTTTTCTCTTTTCCACACGTAAACCAAGATGAAACAGAGAAGCGAGCAAGACAGGCGCACCATGGCAAACCAATTTTTTAATCAAATCAAAGTCCTTTTTTTTTCTCCTTTGCACCTACTAGTGCTTACTTGAGCAACCGATGCTATAGCATTTGCTAGCTAGCACTACCCACTCCAGTGTATTGCACCCTCCCTAGCCTTTTTCTCTCTCTTGCTAAGCACCCCTAAAATACCAACGCTAGGATCGACGAGTACCTTTACCTTGGGTAACCTCATCGACTAGGAAATGAGGGCGTAGCTACCGCAAAGTCCCCGCCTAGCCGAACTTGGCTTGGGGACTACACCCTAGGGGCCCAGTGACCAGCCAGGAGATGCTTTGACCCTTAGCTCATGCCTCTCCGACTAACAAAGTAAGTTCGAAGGGAACCCACGCCTCAGCCCCCGACCTTGAAGTAGGGACACTTGTATCGCTCGGGACCCAGGGGGAGGGCAGGCATGATTTCTTTTTCCACAACCTACAATGACAATGAGAACAATATCTGCGATGGGATAGTCATGCCCCTAAGGGCGTCCCAACAAGATGATTTATGCTAGCTATTTTAGTGCTAACTGTACTAAGAATCCAACGCGGAGGAGAGAGAAGTCTAGAAAGTGAACTCGCTAGCGCTTGTGCACTCGCTAAGATCGCACACTCCCCCATGAACACCGAGTCTCTGCCCTCCCACGCACTTTTCATGTTTGCATGTCAGAGCTTCCTACTTTTATTTTTTCTATTCACTTGTACCTCCACCTCAGCTGGCGAAGCCGTCAGCTCCGTTGTGGACGCCCTAAGTACCACGGACGCACTTGAAGCATGTAGCACAGGGTACAACACACCTAACCCAGCGGAGCCTTGTGTGCAATAGGAAGACACGACATACCTTGCCAACCACACTGGTGCCTATTTTACTAACCATGACGTGGGTGTGGCCATCCCCAGTTGATTCTCCCATGATCTCCTCCACGACCGCGGCAGGATGGCGACAGTAACAAAGATAATATAGAGATGAACACTAGTCCGGGGGGCCACTCAAGGATGTCCGACATGTAGGAACCTCTCTCTTTCTGTAACCCTATCTCCGGCTATATAAGGGGCGGTAGGGGATGCCCTTCTTCATCTTCGAAGCCTTCACAGTCCATAGAGTGTTTGACTAGTCCTACTCTCAGAACTCTCAGACTCTCTCACCTGTTTGTAACCCTTTCGAGCAGATGTAGGGCTTTTGCCTAAACTAGAATAAATCTTGAGTTCTCGAGTGCTAAGACATCCGAACCAAATGCATAATCACAAATTTACTAGTTGGATGTATGAAACACCGACAGCTGGTGCGTCTGGTAGGGGCTTGTCGCATGTTTCTCGACGTCACCAAGTTTTGGATGGTTCCTTTTGTCAGGAAGGAAGCATCCGTTTTGGGAGCTTCGACTTCGCCATCGGCACCGAGGGAAGTCTTAGTCTCATCTCCACTCCGAAAGCCTAGACTTCGTTGCTAATGATTTTGGTTACCAGCTGCTCCATGACTAGGCACTGTGTGCCCTGGCTAGAGGAGGTGTCATCGCATCCCACCCATGACGATAAGATTCTTATTGGCATCGATGTCGAGATGCTCACTCATTGTATCGATGCTCACCTCGGGCTAGATCCCATGCTTGAGGACAACCGATATACTGACTACATGTTGGTGAATATTTTCACCCATCTCTCCGGTGGAGCAGCTCTGCCACCAGAGAACGAGTTTTGGGACCTACAGGTCATGTTCCCACTTGGTTAGTTGGTGCTTAGGCTAGTTTAGGATACATTAGCCCTTTTCTTTCTTAGGTGTTACCATATAGTTTAGTGAAGTTTACATACCTTTTTTCTATCGATGCTTGCGCGCACCGAAGGTTGTACATTCCAAGCTTGTAAGTCAGTGAGATCACTCCAACCGTGTTTGTAGAGTAGCCGCCAGTGGTGTACGAGGGAGAAGAGGCCCTTGGTGTCTTGGCTAAAGCTCTACTAAGTGAAGATGACAGAGAGTGGTCCATGAGAGGCTTGGTAAGATCCACTTGTGTGTGGGGGAAGGCCTATGAGCAATCCACAGAGTTACCCGATCGAGAGCTTGTCCTTATGAATGCTTCATTGTGAGGGGATCCAATGAGGACTAGTGAAAAGCACTAGAAAAATCATTGAGCGAGAGTTTGCATACTCTAACCCTTTACATTACACACTTTATATTCATTCATTCCTTTGTATTGTTACCTTTCTAGTCTAACTATCTAGGTTAGTTGATAGGATTAGAACCTATGGTGCTAGTCTTTTTGGCATTAGAGATAGCAACACTTAGAAAAACATTGTTCACATATAGATAGAAGTTATGTATGTTTTTATAAGTGGTTTTTGACCTTAGTATTTAAGTGAACAAATTCACCTCGCTCAGGTGTCATGGTCCATTGAATTGGTACCAAAGCTGGTTGGCTCAATTTGAACCTTTGTCTTCACCATCGTTGAGCTTTTTTATGCTTTAGAGTGGTCAGGATGGAACCTAATAGGCCCCTGCACTTTGACAACACAAACTTCTCCTATTGGTGTGTGCTATTTAGAAGCAGTTGATTCAGGTGTTTTGAGAGTTAAAGTGCCAGGATGAAACCCCTAAAGAATCCCAAAAAACTAGCGCTAGTGACAAGAAAGAACTTCAACTCAAAGCTAGAGCTAGAAATTGCATCTTTGAATATATTAGCATTGACGTGTTCTATCAAATCTATATGCTCACATAGGTAAATGAAATTTTGTTAAAATTGTAAGGGCATGACGATATGGTGGATGGTGAGGCGGGCAGCAATAACAGTGAGCCAGGCCCAGGCAGCAAGAACAAGCCGAGAGCTACGATGCTCAATGGTGAGGAAATGTTGGCGGATGGTGGATTTTTGCTCAAAAGAAATAAGGAGAAAGGGGAGTGGACAAAGAAGCTAAAAGCATGTGCCCATTCTTTCGTTGTTCTTTCTGTTGTTTATTCGATCATTGGCATCAAGAAACCACTCACACCACGTTTTGGTTAGTCTACGTCGATAGCAGGAGTCGCTATTGTGCCATCAGTTCTTGTTCGAATTTCTTGTTCTCTCGATCGTTGGCATAAAAATAATGCTCTTACACCTTGTTGCATCAGTTCCTATCTGCTGATAGAGACACAGAGGGCGCAGATACAATATTTGTAGGATGACAGTGCAGAGGATGTGTTTGAAAAAATTCATATTAGAATTCACCGCACAATCATGCTTGTTGTGGGATTAGATACCGAATTTCGTTGAAGGGATGAGGTGCTTGATCCTAAGGGTGCTTCAACCTCTAAACAGTTACATTATGAGCAGGTTTGTCGGATTATGAATAGAGGTGATGTGCTGTAGATTGGGATTGTGCTTGCAAATGAACTCTTCAAAAATTGTGCCTCCAAAGATATTTTAGTTTAATCTATTCTTCGATCAGTCCACCAGAAATCCAAACAACAATTGAAGTTTATCAGTGATGTTGCAAAACTTAATTTAGACGAGCATGCCAATCGGGGCATCCCCTCTCTCGCCTCTTTAGCTTGCTTATTGGATTGTGGCGGCTTAGTTGTCTTTAAGTAGGTATGTTTTTCTATGTTAGCCTCAGCTAACACTCTTGTACTT